TAATAATATTCAATTTTTTATTTTAACTTATTATATTTTATGTTTGGATGTAATAAATAAAAAAAAATTATCAACAAATTCTTAGCATTTTTTGATTTTGTACGAAATTTTCAAGTTTTTTGGCGAGTAGTCAGATGGGGTTAGTTAATATGAATCGTACATAATAGTACTCATCTCTTTTTAATCAAAGATAATTTATGTGATAAAAAGTAAATTTAATTCTTTTGATTTAATAGAAAAAAAATTATACCGTATAATTTTTAGCTAAATAATAAAAACAAATTTTCTTAACCACAGTCACCTCTTTGTTTTCTACCAGATTAAAAACAATACGAAAAAATAAATTATTTTTAACCATTAAATCTGACAGTAACGAGACCCTCTTAGCCCCCTTATCAGCGAATAGAAAATTCCAAAATATAAATACGCACAAAATCCTACATTTAATCAAATAAACCCTAAGTATTAGTAATTAAAAAAAAAAAGAAAAGAAAATCCAAGTTATCATTTACGTGCTCGCGTTAGATGGGCGTTGGATTAAAATGGAAATTCGAGGACGTAGGAATAAACGCGCATGTATGATTGTTATAATTCTCCTCGAATTCGGGGGTCACGGGAGTATTTAGGAAATTACTTAGACAGGAAAAAGCTCAACTGTCGCGGCTGCGATGTCTTTTTTTTTGTTTTACCTCGTTGCCTGTGATAGTTGGGACGTACACATGGCTGGTCAGTTTTTTTGCCATTGTTCTCTCGAACAGTGCGCGATTCTTTGTCATTAGTACTTTTAGGAAAGGTAAAGAGTTTGTAAACTTGGTCTTTCGGAAGCTGCTCCTTTTCTTGTGTAAGAGTTCGGCTGACTTGATTTTTTTTTTTTTTTAGTTGTGGAGAAGTTTGTGTGACATTTTTGTCGATATCCATTTTGCGGAAAAACATTCTGGGATAATTAAAACTGCTCACCGATGTGAATTCGAAGAGTGAGATTGTATTTAAAACTTTGTATATAGGAGGGAGAAAAAGGTCACGTTGAATTTTTAATAGAGTTAAGAGAACCTTCCGGTTTCAGAATAGTTAAAGTTGTACTTGTGGGCATGATTTTTAAATTATTCCAGGGAGCTTTCCGAGAGTCCAGAAAATTTTATAAATTTTATTTTTCCCCTCTTCAGAAATGAATGCAAAAAACGTGGAAAACAAAAAGATATTGGGATACCAAAATGAAATATAAAAAAAATACACTTTAATTAATTACGAATTACCAATTTGTAATTATTTAGTACCTATGCTTTTACTCTGAAAGTTAAATCTTCATGGCCATTTGATTTTTTACAATTCTATATTAAGTACGAGAACTAGAGTCACCGATCAAATAACAAATTATTTTACTGATGTAGACCGATACAGTTGAGATGAATCAAATAAAAAATATTTAAATATAATTCGTAATCGAAAATAGTGCGCAGTATCCTATCAAGCAAGTGTACCAATAAATAATGCATCTCACGTCTCAACAGAGCACTCTGCTCACGTATCTCTAAAAGCCACAAAAAATACGAGTCCATTGTACAGATTGACTGCGATAAAATTTTATTTCTCCAACTTCGTACCTGAACATTCCAATTGGCTCCTGGAGCGTAGGCTCGTCTCTGGGTTCCTTGCCAGTGTAAACTGCCCTGTGTCATCCTGCGGTTCTCGGCACTGGACCTTTTCATAAAAAAAAAAATCTTATTTCTACGAAAAAAAAACAACACCCAGGAGCCCGTGCCTTGATTTTTCGATAAAAAAATGCCCCGCGGGAAAAATAACCAAAACCATTGACCCAAAAAACTGTACTCATCGGCCACCTAACCCTCGATCGGTGGAAAAGTGTCCTCTTTTATTGCTTTTTATCAGGCAGTGATGAAAAAAAGAAAAAAAAATGCTTTTCTCCAACTTCCTTTATAACGGCCGCAGGGGCTAATAAAGTTTTTATTCAACCACCGATAGCTTTCGGGTCACATATGCGACGAAAGTTTTCATACTCATTGACAAATGGAAACCAGCCCCCAATTCATGTGTAGTTGTTTGCTGTTCGATTGTATTTTTATAAGTATCATTTTAAATTAAATCTCGCATTTACGGCGTACGTACGCAACACTGATGGCGCAAATGTTTCGGAAAAGTGAGTAATCGCAGTGAAAAGTGTCCGAAGGTAATGGCTCACGTAAACCACAAACGAGACGTTTCCAACGCGATGTTGCGGATTAAATTTGTAAATATACGATTGGCTTTAATGGTCCACGTGCGCTGTTATCTCGTGTTTTATGGACCACGGGAATACGTGAAATAGATTGTTTGTTTGGAGATTTTTTTAGGAGTGGTGCGATTTTTTTTTTTCAACGCAGATGTTCGTAATGGATAAAGTTTCGTTTCAGGGGAATCACCGCGATAAAGCAAGTTACCCAAGTAATCGTATTTTAGTTCTCTTAAGCAGGTTCTCTTATAAAGTTTTCACGCGGACGGTTTCGATAAGGTTTTATCGTTCATGTAGGAACTGATCATATTTACTGCGTATGCCTTTTTATTATAATTTTCCACATTATTTTTTACACTAATGGTTCCTTTCATTTTTTTCTGCCAACGATACAAACAAGGTGATTTTCTTATGGTAATGTCGAAACTTGAAATACACATGGAAAGCCTAGGAAGTTTAAATTTTGCTACTTCCACCATCTGTTCCAAGAAATTTCAATGTCCAATGGAATGTACACGAAATTCTGGAAATCTCAGTCATAGTTTACCATTTTTGTTATCTATAAGATAAAAGTGAACATGATGGCACTATAACGGTACGACCACCGGATGACGGTGAAAAAGACAGATAGATATATTGTTATAAATCAGATAAAGTATTTGCATGAGGTTTTGGTATATATGATACAATGCAGCTCGTCATTGTACTTGTACTGTGGTCTAACTGTAGTGTAATATAATAAAGCTCCTCTCGGTTATTGGCTATGAATAAATTACTTGAAACGCAATCTCCTACCGAATACCACACTGTGAGAAATTAAAATCTCCAAGAAGATCTCCGTTAGTTTTTTATAATTGGACTCTGAAATTTTAATGAACGCGCCGATCGGTCTTTATTCAAATGGATGCTGATTGATTTTTATTAATATTTTTTTTTTTTTACTTTTTATGAAAAAAAAGAAGCTTCATTGGTGTGAGGGTATCGAAGAGTTGCGAAAATAAAGATTAGACTTTGGAGGAAAATTTTTCGCTCGATCGTGATATGCTTACGCGATGGAGGTGCACACGTGAGCTGAAGCTCGAAGCGTATCGATGAACTAGTTTCTTCTGCTCGTCGATTCTCCAATGGACTGTTAATGAAAACGCGATACTAACACATGATCCAGTTTGTGGGTAATTCACTGTCATAATGTTCAACACCCTTTGATTAGTCGTTATTTGTAACCAAATTACACTAGTTTAGTATTGTTGAAAAATTCGTTTTGTTGTGATTTTTTTTTGAAAAGTTTTGATTATCATTACCTTGATTATTTATCATATAAGTTTTTTTTATCAATCAATGCAGAATAAATGAAAACTTTACCATACAAAATCTGTCCTCCAAGAAAGGACAGTGTTTGTACATTAAATGTTGACAGTAATTAACTACGTTATTCGCGAACTTGCGTCTGTTACTGCTGTGGTAGTTAATACTATGATAGTAAATCGATGGCTACGAGCGAGAAAGAGCAGTACGCTGTACCTAGTTTCGGAGTTTGTAGCTAAAAGCAGTTAGTTCGAATTCTCATGAGAAAAAGTGCTGTTTCGGAAGTTCTTTGGGTGAGAAGCAGCTCAGTAAGATGGTTTTTAAACTTGGCAATGTTATAAGTCTGTTGCTTTATTTCGAATACAAATAAGTGGCCAAATTTAAGGTAATGACTGAATTTTTTGCTCACATTTTTGACTAGAGCCAAAAGTGTAATTGTAATAAATATGATATTAATAATTTTTTTTTCAAATAGAAAGAAAATTTTATAAATTAAAACTAAGCACCATATTATTTTTCTATGATTTTTTTGTACTTTTAGAGAACGAGAATAATTAATTTTTTTTAAATCAAAATACAATAAAAGAGATTTTACTATGTGGATGAAGTTTTTACTATGTATAAAAAAATTAGAAAAGGATTTTATTTGTAATTTTTTTGCAGATGACTGAATTAAACGGTTTCTAGCAGGATTAAATCGTGTATGACAAATCATATCCAGTTTTCTGTTTAAAAATGTGTACTTATTTTGTAACCAATAAATTGTAGCATAGTTTTATTTAACATGTACATGTAACTCTGAAAATCATGTAATTTATTAATTAATTATTATTTTTTGGTGCACAAATGAGAAGACAAAAATATTCAATTAATTTAATTTTACAAAAAAAAAAAAACCGTACGAACTGAAGATAATATCTTTGTAAAGGTTAGCTTTTGAGATAAATTAAATATCGAAATTAAAACATTTTTTAATTAATATCTTGTCAGCAAACTAACAAGATTATTGAAATTGGTTGCTTTTTGGCCGGAAACTTAACTAATATCATTACCCGTAATGATCAAAATACGTGCTAGTTAATGTAAATTTTTTAAAAATTATTTAATCATTAGTCAGTACTAGATGCTTGAATGATTAAATACCATTCTTACACAAATTTATTAAAAGATTCATAACAAACAGGTTAATTAAAATGTTATTTAACACAAATTTTATTCTGTTAATGTTCTTAGAAAACTATGCCTCATACAAATTTGAATTCTATGGGTGTTTTTCAAAATTTTTTTATCACAAAAAACACATGAGGAGAGTTTTCAAAGAGTTATGTAAAATCTGTTTTTTTCCCATAATATTTTGAAAAGTATACGTTGGATAGAACTTTGTTACAGTATGTTTCGTAAGTCATAATGAGCTTCATGTTTTGTTTAGTACAGTTTTTAAAGTGCACTTTTAAAGCTCGAAGTTTGGATCCATAATTATAGAACAGCGTAATTTATAATCCTATTAGTAGCTTATACAGTAATTGAATATTAATTTTGCATGTTTTTAAAGTTTTAATGGAAAATAAATTTATAATAAATATATCAACACT